GCCTGCCCCACAGTCCCGCCTCTGCCCATCTTACCCTTCCCCACAGGGTCCCGCCTCTGCCCATCTCGGCCTGCCCCACATTCTCGCCTTTGCCTATCTTACCCTTCCCCACAGGGTCCCGCCTCTGCCCATCTCGGCCTGCCCCACAGTCCCGCCTCTGCCCATCTCAGCCTGCCCCACAGTCCCGCCTCTGCCCATCTCGGCCTGCCCCACAGGGTCCCGCCTCTGCCCATCTCGGCCTGCCCCACAGGGTCCCGCCTCTGCCCATCTCGGCCTGCCCCACAGGGTCCCGCCTCTGCCCATCTCGGCCTGCCCCACAGAGTCCCGCCTCTGCCCATCTCGGCCTGCCCCATGGTCCGCCTCTGCCCGCTCCCCGCTGCCCGAGAATGCCTCCCAGCCCATTTTTATTTCAGTCTCTGCTCCTTTGTCCATTCCCTCAGCTGCTTCTGTTCTAAAGGCCCTCTTGCTGTAGCTGCTGACTCCAGAGCAGTTGCTGCTGAATTCAGAAAACAGTCCCGGGAGAAGCATCTCTTTATCCCCCCGTAGGAAAGCCAAGACTGGTTCCGGACGGCTGGGGCTTCCAGGGTCAGCCCAGGAGATGGCCAGGCCAGGTGAAGCCAGACCCACAGTGCTTGGGGGGCAGCTCCGGGGCAGCCCAGGCCCCGCTGGCGTTGAAGGGCTCCTGGCCTTGAAGCAACTTCAGCTCTCCCGGGGAAGCTCTGATGATGGGCAGAGGCAGGAGGACGCTCATGTGCTGTGGCTTTTTCCCAATGAACTAGAGTTCATTAAACAGACCTGCTGCTGGGAGGAGGGGTAGTCCTGGGGGACGGGCCCGGGGGGTGACAGGCGGGCTTGGCCCCCCTGCAAGGGGGCCTGGGCCTCAGCTGTCTCATTATCTGTAAATGGAAGAGCTTGGACCTGAAGTTATTTTCAGTTTTCTGTCTAACATTATAAGATTTTGTTGTTAACAGGATTCAATCAATTTGGTTATTAAGCTAGGTGCTGAGCTGTAATTAATTATTTTAACAAAAGAAGTAACAATAGATTTTCTTCTGCTCGTTAAACTAAATCATATGGTTAAAAAATTAAACTATAGATGTGACTCCCCAAGGCTCTCCCCAGATGCCAAGTGCAGCCCTTGGCAGGGATGCCTGCCCCATCCCTATCGTTTAGAGTCCTTAGGACCCTGCGTAACGCTGCTGGGCCCTGAGCTCACAGTCGGGGTGTCTGTGTCCCAGCCCCCGAGCTCTGCAAACAGTCCACACCCCTCCATGCCACACACCCCCATGCCACACACTCCCATGCCACACCCCCTATGCCACACCCCCTGATGCCACATACTCCCATGGCACACTCCCCCATGCCACACACCCCCATGCCACACACCCCCATGCCACACACCCCCATGCCACACACTCCCATGCCACACACTCCCATGCCAAACACCCCCATGCCAAACACCCCCATGCCACACACCCCCATGCCATACCCGCATGCCACACTCCCATGCTACATGCCCCCATGCCACATCCCCTGATGCCACATACTCCCATGGCACACTCCCCCATGCCACACCCCATGCCACACACCCCCATGCCACACACTCCCATACCACACTCCCCATGCCACACCCCCGATGCCACACACTCCCATGCCACTCACCCCCATGCCACACACCCGCGTGCCACACACCCCTGTGCCACACCCCATGCCATATCACATGCCACACACCCCCATGGTTTATGTTCAAGTGTGTTCTTGAAAGAGCCTGGGTTTTGTAAACACGCTGCTGACTTTTGTATTAAAAACATGAACAGGTGACGGCAGCCACCACACGCCACCCTCTTCTGTCTGTGCTTCCATGCCTTGGCTCTTCCCACCCAGGGTCTGTGGGGGTCAGGGCCCGCCACCTCTTCCTCAGTTGGAGTGAATTTGGGTCTGACCGAGGGCTTTAGCCATTGTCAGATGTGACAAACAGGCCCTCCCTGGAGACCGCGTCTCTAGGAAGCCCTGCTCCTCCGGGCTCCTCCGGGCTCCACTGCAGTTACCTGCACAGGCGCTGGGACATCGAGCACAGCCATCACACTGCAGCAGGAGGCGGGGCCTCCGGTGGTTTTCTGAAGGTCACCAACCCTTCAGGGTTGGACAAGCAGAAGCCTTTTGCATCCCCGCCAGGCCCCTTGCCCAGGTGGCCCCAGTCAGCCTCCACCCTCAGGCACATGGTCCCAATTCTATTCACAGCTTCTGTTTTCCTGGCTTCTTTCCCCACGTTGACAAGATTTCCATCTTGCTGTTGGTCTTGTCAGTGTAGGAAGTCCAATCCACTGCTCTGAGGAAGCCTCTCAACTCCAGGGTGTGCCAGAAGTCAAGGGCAGCCTCTTCCCTAGGAGACACATGCCCACACGTGCATGCAGGCGCCACGCACAGTCCAGGGCTGTCGGCGGCTGCTTCTGCACCGTCCAGGTGGCTTGTCCGGAGTTAACCATCACAGTAGCCCTGTGCTGCTGTGAAAGCACGGGGGAGCTGTGTGGCCTCCGTGGAAACGCAGGGGAGTTGTGTGGCCTCCGTGGAAATGAGGGGGAGCTGTGTGGCTTCCGTGGCACAGCAGCCCTCGCTTGCCCTGTGCTAACTGTCTGCTTCCTGTGTGCCGTTTTCCTGCTAGAATTCTCTGGTGGTCGAGATCCCGCCATTTCGGAATCAGAGGATAACCAGCCCCGTTCACGTCAGTTTCTACGTCTGCAACGGGAAGAGAAAGCGAAGCCAGTACCAACGCTTCACCTACCTTCCTGCCAACGGTAACGCCGTCTTTCTAACCTTAAGCAGTGAAAATGAGCGTGTGGGGTGCTTTTTCTAAAGACACAGAAACAGATGACGTCGCCGTAAAGCAGCGGGCGTGTTGCACGTGTAACTGTGTGATGTCCCGTTAGTGAGACTGAGTCATCGATTCTCTCCAAATGAAAGGACAAGGAAGGCTTCCGATGCATTTTCCTTGATCCCTGTTGTGGGGAGTGGGGGGCAGTGTTGAATACTTAGTCATGGTTATCGTGCGGCTTGGCGAACGTGTAACAGCCAAGGGGAGAACACGGCTCTTCTGCTCTCAAAACCCAGGAGGTCCTTTACGTGTACTAAAGCTGCTTCAGGTGAAAGGCAAATGTGCATAGCTATTTCGCAGGCACCTTTAGGAATAAACCTTGCTTTTCAGCCTGTGGTCCTGATGTGGTCCTTAAGGTGAGCAAGCTTTGTGCTGGGCGGATGTCCCCAAGATACTTCTCCAGGGGAAGTCTCATCTCCTGGGACCATGGGCATCCAGGCCGGTGCACCTCCTCCTCAACCCGCCTGCCCCTTACCCATCGTGGGAATGGCTCCTTTTCACTCAAAAAAAAAATATATATCAGCTTACCTTTTTAACCTTTAGGGTGTTTTCTTAAAGGAAATACCATTGAGTGTGTGCTCTCAGTCCTTGAACCAGGAGCAGCTTCCTTTGTGGGTTCAGGCCACTCCTCCCAGCTTGGAGAGGACAGGGTTAGCTTTCATCCTGAGTTTTACTGTGTTTTGGGTAAGCTTAGCTAATGTCAACAGTCTTTTTATATTGCTTTTTTCTAAAAACTCCAGAGATTCCTATTATCTGAGAGGGAAACCACATGCGGGGAGCTAATTACAAAAACAGTCACATTCTCTGAGTGAAATCAGGGTGTTTCCAAAGGTTTCTGTTTTCTCTGAACGTAAAGGGCATTTGTAATAGACCAGATCCTAGGAAGGCCCTCCCCACGTTTACACGAAACTGCCAGCACTCCCTGTGTCCTTAGGTAAGCTGTAGAAATACCCCTCAAGGTGTGGATACTGGGGTTTCGCTATAAAGTCGCTGCACCCTGAGAGCATCTGTGAGACAGAGCTGTAGGGGTGACGGGCAGCCCCAGCCCAGCCCACACGGAAGGGCCTCGTGCTCTGTGACCCCTGGGATTTAGTGGTCTGCACCACCCACACCTGTTCTGGAACAAGGTACAATGTATCTTACAGAAGGAAATACTGTATCTTTTTTTGAAAATATAATGATTGCGTTCTAATTAAACTTCAAGCATGGTTGACCAGAAATTGAATGTCTTAAAGAAAGCCCAGGCCTCATAAAGAAGGCTTGCTTTCCAGAGCAGCGCGTTTTTTTCTTATGTGCTGGACACGTGGCAGCCCCACCATGGGTTTACGTGGCAGCCCCACTGTGGGTTTGCGCGGCACTGAGTTTAGCGCACATCACGCGTCTCAGAGGCAGAAGGGGTCTGTGCAGGGAGCCTGCCAGCCCTTCGCAGGCAGCAGTGGAGGCCCCCAGGACCGTGGCCGCAGCATGAAGTTGGTGAGGCTGACCTGCTCCTGCCCCTCCTGCCCACACCCCACCCAGCAGCCAGCCATCCAGTACTACCAGCCACCTTCCTGCCTCGGCCAGCCCCAGCACCCCTCTCAGCTCCGTGCCCGGCGTGGACGTCTCTGCTGGACCCCCGGCCCGGTACCCAGCAGCACCCTCCAACCCCAGCTGCCCCAGCATGGCCCATCACAGGCTGGGTTCCGCAGACCCGCCCCAGGCACTAGCCTTCACCCGTCCTCTCTCTTGCTGACTCCCTCGTCTCTTCTTTCCCGGAGGAGCGCCACGGCTGCCAGGTGACCCTCCAGGTCCCCACGAGCACACTGACTGGCCCCACCAGCCCACAGGGGCTCCCGGCTCCCTGTCACCCCCCTGCTCCTGGGGGCTGTGACTGAATCCCGCACCACAGACTGTGATTCCCTCAGGCAGAACCCCGGGCTGCCGCTGTCAGTCAGTGTGGCTTTTAAATAAATAAACGAATGAGTGGAAACCAGCACTCAGGCATCCGTGTCCATCCGCGTCCCGCTGCACTTCCCGCCCTGCGACCCTGGCTGCGTCTGAGACGCTGAGGCCACGCCAGGGCCTGCGTCCTCCGTGCTCATGCGTCTGTGTCTTGGGGTCCGGCTTGGACGGTTTCTGCCACGTGGTCCAAGAGACAGTTGGCAGCTCTCCTTCCACAACCCTTGGAGGTGTAGCCAGGACGTGTCAGGGTGGAGGGAAGCTGGTCAGCAGGCACTGGCCTGACTCGGAGTGGCTCCTGGTTTGCTTTTTCCCCTTCCCACATGTCGCCGTGGGGTTCGTTTCACTCCAGTCTCCGCTGTGCCGAGCTCCAGGCCTGAGTACCCGGGGGTCACGGCAGCCAGGGGCAGGCTCTTAGGGGCAAGAAGTGTGCTGTGGAAATGCCAAGTGGACAGAAATGAAGCACGTAACCTCCAATTGTGGGATTCATTTTGCATACAGTTTGTAGAATCAAGTCTCATTTGAGGTTTTCCTTCAGAATTGCTGTCCCCACAGGCAGGCCCCGCTGAGGGCTCCAGGGCATTTGGAATCCAAGTGCCCAAGGGGGTCCGGTGCTTGTGGGGGGCGGGGGCACGCCCCGGCTGCCAGCTGCTGTCACTCTTCATCTCAGCCCGAAGGTGTCCTCGGATGATGTGGCGGAAGATGAGCCCAGAGGCAGCACCTGGCCCCGAGACCCCTCCGTCCTCACGAGGCCTCGTCTCTCCTCTCAAGTCAGCGCGTCGCCGGGGTCAGCCTCTGGGAATCGCCGTCTGAGTGCAGAGGGCTGGTGGTCTCTGATGGGACCCAGAGGGTCAGGCTGGTTCCTTTCACCTCCTAGGGGGGCAAGCATTAAATGGGGAAAGGTTCCCACCCGAATGTCTGAGCAGGAGTGGCAGAGCCCTCTGGGAGCCCTGCAGGCCGCCCCACCTGGCACTGCGGGAGGAAAGTAAACGTGGCCCACAGTGGGAGTCTCAGACATGTGTGCCACACAGGGGCTCCCTGGAGCAGCTGGCTTGTCACTGCTTTTGTTTAACTGCGCCTGAATTTAATCTTCCGGAGGTGCATCATGACGGCCGAGGGATGCCCAGGTGCCAGGAATGTCCGCAGTTCTTAGAGGTTATTCTAACAAGTCAGTTAGCGTTAACGCCTGGAGTGGGGGACCCTGCCCAGGCCTGGTTAGAAGGCAGCGACTGCGTGGCCTGGAGCATGTGTGAGGGGCTGCGCATGTGTCCCAGATACGAGCAGGCAGGGCTGGGAATCTGAAAAAGAAAACCAAGTTACAAACTCAAAGTCAGCTACCAACGTCAGTGTTTGTTTGCAGGAGAAAATAAAACGTGGCAAGTCACTGGGGCTTGGAGACTCGGGTCTTTTCATCTGACGTCGTTTTCGTCGGTTCCCTGGAAATGCTTCCAGGGCCTCTGCGCCACGCCCCCCGTGGAGCTCTTCCCCGTCCATGCCGAGGAGAAGCTGCTCCTGGCCCCGGCTCCCCGTGAAAGCACACACACCCCTGCCTCTGTTGGGATCCCTTTCATGGCCAGAGCCTCCTTCCTCAGGGGACACGTGGCCCAGCTGAGGGTCCTCTGGTGACAGGGAGTGGCTGCTGTGATCAAACCCTCCGTCACCTAAAATCAGGAGCAGCTCTGACCACGAAATGTGACGTCCGGGGTGCGATGTCATCAGGGTGGATCTGCCTCGGGATCTGGGGGGTCCCTTGCTGTGGGTGGGCTCCAAGCCCAGACAGGAGCCAGCTGAAGACTCAAACACCACGAAGAGGGGTGGGCGCCCTTCCCTCCCAGGTCCTCCCCAGCCCTCCACTGGCCCTGCCACAGCGACCTGGGCCTCAGTCTGTGTCTTCTCAAGAGCAGAAGGGGACTAGACCCCATTACTTCCCTGTCTGCAGTGGATTATTAAATGGAGAAGTGACCGTGGCATCGGAGAGGTGTCAGTAGAGAGGCTCCCGTGGGGGTTCTGTGGCCTTGGGGCCACACCAGCGATTGTCATGAAGAGAGCTGCTTGGGTGTGAGCCGGGGCGGGGGCGGCTGTGAAACGGAGGTCCTGTGCACAGAGCCCACCACCCACGGTCGACAGCTGGGGGCTTGTCTCCGCCTGCGCGTCCCAGGCAGCAGACCCGGTCTGTCGGGGAGCCCCCTCCGGATAGCGCGTCCCAGGCCCCCAGTAAGCTCAGCTGGGGTTGTGCAGGCCGAGGGCTCTAGAACCCTGCGAGGGATTGACTCGATTACAGACGGAGCCACAGACAGGCAGCCATGGGCCGCCCCTCCTCCTCGCCCTCCCCGCCCTGCTCCTCAGCTGGTGGCCTCTCCTTCTTAGGAGCTTTCCATTCCGCCTTTTTCCTGGATTTTTGGGCTCACGCTGTCCAAGTCCACTGCACGTAAAGCTCGATCCCTAGACAGTGACGTTCGTGAGTTCTCTTCAGGTGCTCAGTGGCCCCAGATCGCCCTTTAGCTGCCGTTGGCCAAAAGCACAGCCCGGGTAGCTGCGAACACCCGTGGCCTCTTCCCTCTCCTCCCCTCCGCTCTCCCCTGCACACTTGGAGGCACCCTGGGACTGGGCCTGAGCTCGGCTGTCACTGCAGAGTGAACCTGCTCGCCTCAGACCCCCACCTAGCCATGGCTCCCACATTCCGTCATCTTAGAGATAAGGAGGTGGGGCCCCGAGCGCCTGTCGAGCCCCCATGTGGTGGTAGCGTGGGTGGGGGTATCTCGCCGGCATCTTTCCAGGACTGCCGGGCTGTGCCTCCGGGTCTCTCCCCACCCCTGTCCTGTTCCCTGAAATAAAGTCGCTCACGTTCCGATCCCGCCACCTTGGCGGGTGCTCCCAGCTCCTGACACGTCACCCAGTGCTGCCCTCACAGTGCCCTGGTTTTCAGCCTCGAGAGACTCCAGGTGTCGGCCAGGCTGCAGGCGCTTCGATGCACCAGGGCCTGGT